GTCCGGCGGTGCCGGTGGGTCCCCCGCGGGAACGGCGCCATGGCTGCGGACTCGGAGGTGCTGCACTTCCAGTTCGAGCAGCAGGGGGATGCGGTGCTGCAGAAGATGAACCTCCTGCGGCAGCAGAACCTCTTCTGCGACGTCTCCATTTACATCAACGACACCGAGTTCCAGGGGCACAAGGTGATCTTCGCCGCCTGCTCCACCTTCATGAGGGATCAGTTTCTGCTCAATCAGTCCAAGCAGGTGCGGATCACCATCCTGCAGAGCGCCGAGGTGGGCAGGAAGCTGCTGCTGTCGTGTTACACGGGCGCTCTGGAAGTCAAAAAGAAGGAGCTGCTGAAATACCTCACCGCCGCGAGTTATCTCCAGATGGTTCACATTGTGGAGAAGTGTACCGAAGCTTTGTCAAAATACTTGGAAATCGATGCTTCCATGGAGAACGGTAGTCAGGCTGCAGAGAGGTGTCATTCCTCAGATGCTGAACTGAGAAATGGTGATGATGCTTTAGATAAAGATTGTGAAATAATTGAGATCTCTGAAGACAGCCCAGTGAACGCAGAATACCCCGTGAAACAGGAGAAGGGGGACATCCCACGGCCTGCAGAGCAGAGCTTGATCTCGGAAAGAAAGGACACACAAACCCCAGAAATATCAACAGTTGAAATCGGATATAAGGACGATGAAATCTGTATCTTCAGAATGGATTCTGTGAACGTAGCAAACGTAGAAAATGATCATTTTCCTCAGCCTTGCACATCGTCTAAAACAAACTTATATTTTCCAGAAACCCAGCACTCCTTGATAAATTCTACAGTTGAAAGCAGAAATACAGAAATGTCAGGAAACCACTTTCAGGCTTTGGTCAGTGACAATCCAGAAGGAACTTCTAGCCTGATGAATGGGTTCCAGAGCCTGGATGATTCGGGCAATTCATGGCGGCACCAATGTCCGAAGTGTCCAAGGGGATTTCTGCATCTTGAGAACTATCTCAGACATCTAAAAATGCACAAACTCTTCTTGTGTTTGCAGTGCGGCAAAACATTTACACAAAAAAAGAATCTCAACAGACATATCCGGGGGCACATGGGCATCCGCCCCTTCCAGTGCATGGTGTGCCTGAAAACCTTCACTGCCAAAAGTACGCTTCAGGATCACCTCAATATACACAGCGGTGACAGGCCCTACAAGTGTCATTGTTGCGACATGGACTTTAAACACAAGTCTGCTCTTAAAAAGCATTTAACTTCTGTTCATGGAAGGAGTAGCAGCGAAAAACCAAACCTGAACGCTATTACAAAAGTTAAAATAGACTATGATTAATGGATGGGTGGTTGTGGAGCCAGGCTCCACAAAAAGCTCCTGCCTAGTGAAATTCTAGATGAAATTCTAGATGCAGATCCTCACGTAGTGGAGAGAGGCGCAAATGTGTGAGTGGTGATCAAAGACAGGCCTTGCAAGCAGCAAACTGGCCTGCTGCATTGCGCTTGCTGTTGCTCTAAGTGCAAAAAATGTGTTTACTAATTGAAAGTAAACAGCCAAATATGGGAAATAATTTCGTGCTTCTCTTCTGTTATCCCGGAGACATTCTGATTTCTCCCCTCCCCCAGTTATGGTGTGCACTCCCCTGTATCGAGGGCAGGCACTGCCGATTTTCAAACTGTTACTGATATTGCAATAAGTCGAAGCCTGAGCTGTGATGTTCCTGATTTATAATGTCGAAGGAAAGGGAATGTTTGTATTTATTCAGCAAATCAGTCATGCCCACCCAGTTCATGTATAATTTATGGTAACATCATCTCCTTACTTGCCCAAACTTTGCTAGATCTTTTCAACAGAAAGAAGATGTTTTCATACTCAAGTCTGTGATATTTAAGAAAGAACACACAACAAACAAAAAATAATCAAGCCTTCAAATTGCCTCTTGCAAATAGAGAATTGGTAATGGTAAAAGAGAAAGAAACAAACAGTATTGCCTTGCATTTCATTTTTACCTGGTAGTCTCATTAGAAGTACTTGCTTTCAGTTTTATGAACGAGTTGTGAATTTTTCTAAACTACTTGTCATTATTCTTTTTTTGTCATACCAGTGTTTTGCACCTGTATTTGACTAATTCTGATTAGGTTAGTCCTGCTTGTTGAGCTGTAACGTTTGCCTTCAGTTTTTACAAATCTTAGATACAAACACAATGTGAAAAATTAAGCTGTGTGCTGTAATGTAATAGCAGTTTCTACATTCATTTTGAAAAACAATCATTTAAATATGAGTAGGAATGGCTTAGGCATAGAGGTCTTCTCATATTCTAATTCTGTGACACAGTAAACCAGTAACTACGTGTGTTTGGATAGGTGTGTTTGTACTTTGTCAAAGGTCATTTCAGTTTCATCACAAGCATTGAAAGCCCTGTAACGCAGAATCTTTATCCTACACCTGTCTTTGACTGGTGTATGTTTCTTCCACTTAATATGATATGAATAAAGAGTCAATTCTGTTGTTAAAATGAGATAATGGTACTTACAACAGACTCTCCAATAGCAAAAAGCAGTAGTTCTCAATCTTGTCTGTCGCTAGGGTACGTTTTCCTTCATGTTTCAGAAGTGCTGTTACAAAGTTCTTGCTCCAAGTCCAGAGGTCTGGCCTGTGTGCTCCATAACCTGGCTGTGTTAAATACAAGACAATCATTTTTAATGATGTTGGTTAACAGGTTTAACTTAGTTTCCTTCCCTGTGAACGCACCAGCCATTGCTTGGGGTTTTATTTATCAGCTGGGTGAGGGGTAGGTGTGTACAATATCTACCGCGCAATTTCCTGTTACTATCTGTGATAGGCTGTGCCGGTGTTATTGCTGTCTTCATCTAGTGGAAAGTTCAGTTGAAGAGTTTTTAACAACTTGATTCATTAGGGTTTTTTTAAGCTCTTCATCTGATATTATTAACACTTAAAGTACATACTAGTCTGCTTGCAGCAATATTTGCAGGTCCCATTTCATACTGCGCCTTACTGTGGTAGGCAGCATGTGTCTTCCTCAAAAACCCTGCAGTCTGAGTAGGCAGGTTATGTGTTCTGAAGCTGAGCACACCACTAGTGTCATAGTCCTCCAAAAATTCACAAAAATGGCTGACTTCACCTCCACAGTTCACGTGTGAAGGACTCAGTTGCACTGGTTCACTGGAAAGGCGTGTGCCAAGTCTGCATGCCTTGGTATCCCTATGAATAGTGACAGAAATTACGCCCACAGAGTAGGCAGCTAGCATAAGTGTGAATTAAAATCATCTGTTTATCCAGTACTTTAAGCATAATGTCCAACCTTTTACAATTTAAGCTATTACTTCACATTTTAAATTGATAATTTGCTTTATTTTGGTGATTTTTAACTATAGTAATTGTCATGACAACTATAAGGTTTGCAAGTCATGTGACCGCCTGATGTTTTGCAAAAAAAAAAAAAAAAAAAGCATTTTATAGCATTGTCTTTTGTTTGCATTCATTAGTCTGTCACTGTTTACACTATAAGGGTTGCAAGTCATGTATGGTGTGACCGCCTGATGTTTTGCAAAAAAAAAAAAAAAAAAAAGCATTTTATAGCATTGTCTTCTGTTTGCATTCATTAGTCTGTCACTGTTTACAGCTTTTGACCTTGTGATTAGTATTGTTTGCTTCATTTTTCACAGAATGCCATTAATTTTGGGTTCTTAATTGCATAAAAATTAAGAGTGATTTTCAAAAGCATGCTGATACCTGCACTTACCCTTACTGTATTTACAGATCTTAACTGGGTATACGTACAGGTGTGTATGTCCGCAGTATGTATGCTACAGTATGTGGCTTTTCATTTGCGTCTACCCACTGACTTAGTTACTTAAACTCCTTCATCCTTGGGAGGGGTCATAGAACAAGGAAAAAGTTTACTTTCTTCTTCCCATCCTTTTCACATTGGGCTGCTATTACTGTAGTTCAGTAAATAAATATATTGTGCATTTATGGGACAGATTTGGTTCAACTGTGCTTAAATTTGTCCAGTTAATATGCGTTTTTGGCAGGTGTATGATTATCATTGGTAACACTTCAAAAGATCATTCCTTGTTTTTTGTTCAACTGATTTTTATAGTTGTAGGTATGGGTATTTCCTCGGTGTCAAAGGGGAAACAGAAGCTGATCTTTTTAAGTGCATCTTCTGCAGGAACAGGATTGTGAATTATTTTGTTCTGCTGTTGTATTGCATGTAAACGTGAGAGGGAGTTGTGTTGTGTGAGGGGCCAACAGCACGTTCTGTTCAGTCACTAGAGTGTCTTGGTAAGCTTTGTGAACAAAAACTGATTTTATTTATGCTTCCACATTAAAGGTGTTTCCTCTCCCCTGTCCATACGTGTAACCACTCGTCCTGTCATAACGCAATAAATGAAATGCAAACAAGACATTTTCAGAAATAAATATACTTTCTGCTGATCACAGGTAAATAAATCTGTGTGTACCTTTGTATTTAGTATTTTGGCTTGCTATGGTGAGTAAACAAGATCTCGTAAACCAAATACAGCGCTCAAGTGGCAGTCATTTAGTAACACGTTTTCTCTGTCCTTCAGAAGGGTCTATCAGCAGCACCTACTTGTCAGATGAAAGCTTTCTCCTCAGAAATCACCATTCAGCACCGCCTCGGCCTTGATCAGAAAACTGCTTTGATCTTTGTGAGCGACCAGAGAGACGAGGGGCTGCTCCCGGGCTTTTCTCTGGGGTGGCCTG